CCCTCATCTTTTGACCCTTCCATCCTATTTTGTTGATTTTACGAGTATTGATTATAGAAAAGCCTTCAACAAATTCTCATCTAGGTATGTTGCCACTTGCTGCTCTAAAAGTAATTTCATATGATGAAAGAGTTTGTTCCTGTGATCAAAAATTGGTTGTGAATTTGGCACACATCATTCTTCACCGTCTCGTTTGTAGCAGTGTGTACAAGACTCTTGAGGTTTGTTTTAGAGTAGTTCCCAGGAAGATCTGATCAAGATAAACATAGGTATTACAGAGATTTGAACTCGTTCAAGGTGGTAAAGTATTCCTTGACTATTTGTTTATCAATCCCCAGCTGCAATCCTGTCCCCTTCAGTTGCACTTCACATTTCTCTGGAGGTTCATAGGCTGTCCTATGGGACGAAACTGAGCTAAAATAGGAATTGAGCACCTCTGCCTTTTCTTTATCATCTATTATCATTTTTCCATCTCCATTGAGTAGCTGTGCCACCATTTCTTTTCTTTGTCTTTTGCTTCACATATACCTGAAGAATTTTTTTATTGTTTTTGCTCTCCTAATCCCATCCCTGCATTTCCTTGCTACTTGTCTGTATTCATCCGTGATGACCTGACCTTCTTTCTACTTCCTATACATGTCTCTTTTAGGTTTTTTTGTTTGTTTTGTTTTGTTTTCAGTCCACCTTGAGCTTTCTGTGAAGCCACACTGGCCTTTTTTGCTGCCTCCTATCTTTTTTTTTCTTGTTGGAATTGTTCATAGTTGTGCTTTTTATTTTATTTTTTAAGAAACTCCCACCCTTCTTGGACTCCTTTTCTTGTTAGGATGTCCTGCCATGGGACCTTTCTCATCCTTGTTCTGCGATGATTAAAATAGGCTTATTTAAAATCCAGTATATGTGTATGGCTACAGTCTGCTTTGGTTTCCTCTTCTGCTCACTATTATTCACACTTGTCAAGAAATAGCTCTGGCAATTGCTTTGTATTTGTGTGAGGCACACATCATTCTTCACCATCCCGTTTGTAGCAGTGTGTACAAGACTCTTGAGGTTTGTTTTAGAGTAGTTCCCAGGAAGATCTGATCAAGATAAACATAGGTATTACAGAGATTTGAACTCGTTCAAGGTGGTAAAGTATTCCTTGACTATTTGTTTATCAATCCCCAGCTGCAATCCTGTCCCCTTCAGTTGAATGTTAGTGAGCACAAGGGGGTATCCTGTAGGACTTTTATCATTGGTGTTGTCAACATTCAAGCTGCGACTGCTATCATTGGTTATGTCAACATTCAAGCTGCCCTTTGTTATGTAAAATTTGGCATTCTTCCTGCTGGCAACATGGGCACAATATTGTGCAGCAATACTGGGCCTGTTCCCGGCATTTTGAATAAATGGATTTTATAGCTCAAATACAGATGCGCAATGTCCCACGTTTATAAACTGGAGGTCTTTTGAATAATTGATTAAATTAGAGACCAAATATCCTTGAAGGTCCAATAAAATATGCTTAAGAGGTGATATTATTTTGAAAAAAAAAAACACCAAAAACATATCTTCATATGTATGACAGAATTATCTCTATGATACAGAATTTTGCTGTCATTGTGGCATACAGACTTATGCCCAAATGTTGGGGGGGGGGGATTTCTATGACATTTCACATTTTCTCTGCAACCTACATTGGAACTCATATGCACGTTCAAACATGTTTATGAGTAAATTGGCTCTTCTCACTAGATGACTCATAAACATGTTCTAGCCCACCCATAAGATCAAACATAGGCTAAGGAAAAAATATGACATCATATAAATCCTATATTCTGCACATAGCAGCTTATTAAAAATCAAGCACAGACCATGATAGCTCAGTGGTTTGTTTAGATATTTGACTGTGGAACCAGGGTTGGGAGTTAAATTCCCAGCTGTGCCTCCTTGACAAGGACTGGACCTGATGATCCATAGGGTCCCTTCCAGCTCTGCAGTATACTCAACCACTCATATATTGTCCCATGAATGTAGCTGATTCATGTATCATCAAGAAGTAGCATAGCTAGTCTTGTTTGCATTCCCACAGAAGGGGACATCGGAAGATGGGAGAAAGGAAGTGGTTCCTTTCTCACTTACAGTTGAAGTAACTTTTTTAACATGTTAGGTTCAGACATACAGCATGTACTAGGCTGTAAAGCATCATAGTGCATAGATGATGCCATAGATTAAGTGCAGAGGTTCAAGGAAAGCAAGAATATTTAAGATAAATCTTAGAAATAAACCCAATATTTCATCCCATTTAATAATGGAATTTACATAAATGTTGACTTAACAAATTCCATTTATTCAGTGGACGTGCCATAGTTCGATCGAACAATTAAAATTAGCTCTTGAATTCTAAACAACAATCATTTTAAGCCAAGGTAGAGAAAAACAGAGAATGACAAATGGTTGGAGAACAGGAAAAGCTTGTACAGTGGACCCTTGACTTACAGACGGCTTGACTTACAGACTTTTTGAGTTACAGACTTCTCCGGCCGCAAAATTTAGGTTTGACTTACAGACCAGAAAAAAACCAAAATGGAACAAAAATGGCCTGTTACGGGATTAATCGGTTTTCAATGCACTGTAGGTCAATGGAGACTTGACTTACAGACTTTTTGACTTGAGAACCGCCTTCCAATACGGATTAAGTTCTCAAGTCAAGACCCCACTGTAACAGGAAAAATAACATTAAAATATTTTTCTTTATTTATTTTGAGATTTTTTCCCTGATACTCTCTCCCATTCCCAGTTTTCCATTTTAGCATGGCTCTTTAATGACATAGCTGAATGATCTAACTATCTGATTCACTGCCATCTTACAAACAAAAGAACACCTGTAACTAGCAGTAAATTTAGAAATACACGATTTATTTATTCAAGGCAAATATCTAATCCTTTGGACATAATATGTTCCTGTTCTATTGGATGCCGAACTGGGCATAACTATGTAAAGCAAGTAGCCAACTGAATTTCTTGCCTCATCTGAAAAAAAGTACATTTCATGATCTGTGTTTTCATTCTCTGGTTGACAATGACACATGAGGATGTGATGCTCCTTGGACAAGCAACTCCAGCCTCTTCTCTTCACCCAAGAATGGAGTTGACAACCGTGACCACAAGTATTGCCACCATCATAGATTGCAATGATGATAGTCAGATAAAGAAAGAATTACACAATACCACAATGCAGGCCTTTCCTGCTGTCTCCATTCTTATGCTCCCACACAGTCCATTGACGCAAACATTAGTTTCTGCTGTAGGTAAAGTAGCTCTGAACTCAGAAACTATTTATACAACTACGGTGATGCAGAAAGTAGAAAGTCATGCAATGAAACAAGTGAGAGAAGAGAACAAATCCCATGGAATGCCTTTCCGGCTGCCCAAAATATATTAATACTTTTGTAAGGAATGTAATTTGTATTTTAATATCAGAGATTTCCATTTCCCCCTTATGTTTAATGGCTGACAAACAGTGGCTGCCCAGCCCTGTGTTATAGCCTGCCAATTATACAATGGATGGTTTTCTCTCTCTCATTAAAGAATCTGTGAAAAAAGACAAAAAAGCACATCCTCACTACAAATTGGGACTAACAAAAATTGGATTTTCAGTTAGAATTTATTCTGAGAAGGGAGTGGATTTAATCTAATTTAGTATTTGTTATACATATGCTATTCATAGCTATAAGGTAAAGGTAAAGTTTCCCCTTGACAAATTGTCCAGTCGTGTCCAACTCTAGGGGGCGATATTCATCCCCATTTTTATGCCATAGAACCAGTGTTTGTCTGAAGACAGTTTCCGTGGTCATGTGGCCAGCGCGACTAGACATGAAATGCTGGTACCTTCCCACCGTGGTGGTACCTATTTATCTTCTCACATTTTTACATGCTTTTGAACTGGTAGGTTGGCAGGAGCTGGGACAAGTGACGGGAGCTCAGTCTGTCACATGGATTCAAACTGCTGATCTTTCGACCTTGCAGCCCAGAGGCTTTGCGGTTTAACCCACAGCAGCACCACGTTCCTTATATACAGCTGTACTGACCTTTAAATAACTCTGGAATGAGGGTAGTTAGGGAAAATTGCAGGGTTTCTTTTCCCCCTCTTGAAATAAAGACATTTACTACATGTTCATCCTAGTTTTCCAAGTATTACCACTTCCTTTATAAATCTATGAATATTAAACTCATTTTGAATATGCAGAGAATTGTGTGCTGTAGCAGGTACATCCTCGTACTCTGAAAACATTATCCTCATACATGGAATTCTGACTTAAACACTGTTTTCAGGTGTGGTCCCAAAGGTCAGCAATCTTAAACTGACCAGTATATCTGAAAAATGTCTGACTGAATCCTGAGAATATGAAGTCAGAAAAAAATCCTTTACACTGATGCTTACCATTGACACTCCCTGATAGGCTTCTCCAGAGAGGAGATGGAAGAACAGGGTAAAACAAACAAAGACCCTTTTCTTTTTTACTTTTTTTGAAAAAAGTGTACTACTTTTTGGCAAAAAAAAAGTACTTCTGTTCAAAACATGCTTTTTGCCATCAAAAATTCTATCAAAGGTGTCAGGGCATTTCATAAACATCTCACAGAAAAAAAGATGTTGCAGTTCTTTGCTCCTGCACAGAAGAATGAGCCAAGCAACAATTTATCTTTCTAATCTGAAATAATCTGGAACAAAGATGAAGACGCTCCCAAGCAGTAGGCTCAGCTCTTCACACCACATTGAAAATTCTGAGACTGTTCCTTAAAAATTTAAATAAAGTAGTTTTAGTGTGGTTTTGTTTGTTTGCTTGCTTGTTTGTTTCTTTGTTTGTTTTTAAGAGAGGGATACCTGCTATTTAAGGAAAGAATGTTTTGATGAGTAAAAACTCAGCTGTATGGTTTTTTGGAGTTTAATAAAGTCTTTTAATACAGTTGCTGGGGCAACTCATCAATATATGCATATACTACTAATAAAAAACAGTACTTACAAAAGTTGTATTTTCCAGCAATAACGTAGTTGCATTTGTTTCTACATTCAGTTTAACAACATGTCCGTGCCTGTTTTTATACACCACTTCTGTATCTGTTAATAGAAAAGTACATTAAGGATTAGCAAAAGCACAACATTTCATGTAATAGCTTCTAAGCTAATGGACTTGTTCAATGAAGGAAAGACATCACTGTCCATCCAATATATTAAAATGTGCTTAGGTTGACGTAATGACTTCATTAGCAACATCTAATTTTGTTGATTATCCAGAGATAATTACAATGTCTCTGTGCTTCTTCTCATCTGACCTCACTAATGGAGGTGGTTCCACCGTATCAGTGTAGTCCCATCCTACTCCTTTGTGTAAAACAAGACCAATTGTCCCATGTAAAAGCAGTAACACTGGCCATGTTGTCTTAACCTCTGAAACCTTTATTTGGTTAAGCAGTTGTTAACAAAAAAATGGATTCCTAGGGCACAAGCAGCTGTTTCATCCAACGGTCAGATATGTAAACCTCTACAGAAACCTTCAGCTATTTCATTAACTTGCAAACCATGGTGCTTTTATCTGTGATTTGACTTTCATCTTCCACAAAGACACTTTAGCATTACTCATAAAAAGTAAAATCCAAATAAACAAAACAAAACAAAAACATGTGGCACCTTAAAGACTGTTATATTTTAATGAAAGCTTTTGTAGACAAGTGTATTTCATCAGAAATATAGGGAAAATGAAATACTGTATGAAATACTAATTTTAAAAAATGGCTCAGTGATGTTTATTGTGCTAAACTCTGGCTATATTGTATTCTTGAAGGCTTTCACGGCTTGGATCTGATGGTTGTTGTGGGTTTTTCGGGCTCTTTGGTCATGTTCTGAAGGTTGTTCTTCTTGACATTTTGCCAGTCTCTGTGGCCGGCATCTTCAGAGGACAGGAGTAGGAACTCCAGAGAACTCAACAGAGCATGGACAGAGTTCGAACTCCAGTCCTCTGAAGATGCCGGCCACAGAGACTGGAGAAACGTCAGGAAGAACAACCTTCAGAACACGGCTAAAGAGCCCGAAAAACCCACAACAACCATCTGGCTATATTATTTATTACTAACTTTGATTATATTATCTATGATTCACTTTAATCATACTATTGTAGCACAAAAGGAAGAAAACTACAAAAAAGTAATACTGTGTAAAAAAGATTGTAAAATAATTTGTAAACAAACTGCACTGACTTTTGTCTTGTATTCTATTTCTTTATGTTTGAGTGATGTCAGTTTTCCGTCTCAAGGACTGTGCCTCCCTTTGTGAACCTGTCCGAGTGTTAAGATCACCAGGGGAGGCCTTTCTCTTGGTCCCACCATCCTCACAGGTACACTTAGTGTGGACACAGGAGAGGACCTTCTCTGTCACTGCTCCCAGACTCTGGAACTGCCTTCCATGGGAAGTCAGGCTGGCCCCATCTTTGCTGTCCTTCCACAAGCAGGCAAAGACCTTTCTCTACAGGCAAGTTCTCCCTTAGTGACTGGTTGTCTTAAAAGAGGATTCTAAATGGAGTGTTGTGCCTTATTGCTTTGAATGTGGTTTTGACGTTGATTTTGATTACCATTTTTAGTGATTTAGTGTTTGAATATTTTTAAATATTGCATCTTTACTCTTTTTAGCTTATAAATATTATTTTTAATGATACAAGCCACCTTGGTTCCTTTTAAAGGAGAAAGGTGGGCTAAAAGTATTTCAAATAAATAAATAAATAAATAATTCAGTCCTGGCCCTAAACATACCATAATGAATCAGTTCTGCTTAAAGAATAAGCCTGCTCTTTGTAAGGAGGGAAGTTGCATTAAAAGTCATTTAGGGACATTGCATGCTTTAACATCCCTTGCTGTACAAACCATTAAACTCCACTATTTGTGGTGGGATGCGAGCACTGGAAATGAATGCATACAAAGTGCTGTGAGATCCTAAAATAAAACAGTACATGCACATAAGTATTATATAAGTGTGGAAAGTATGGTAATTATTGGTAATCACCATTAATTTCAGTTAAAGTGTCAATCCAATGAATAGCACTTTTTGTGATAAAGAACACTTCCTAGACAGGATAATGAAGCATTTGATGGCCACTTGACAAAATGATGGATTTATTTTTAAAATGATTGGCAGGAAAAATGAATGCATTTTTACATTTCATTATTCAAATTATTTGAGGAGGAGGGAGACAAGTGGCCATCCCTAACCAAACCTAGAATTTGGAATGCCTCTGGAAAAAGGATTTGGAAGGAAACACGGTTCATTTCATTAACAAGAGACTAGCTCTTTTTTATACACTCTTGCACTGGGCATCCCCAACCTGCTGCTGTCTCTGCTGCTGCCAAGTGATAATTTCTGGCTATAAGAAGAGGCACCTTGGTTCCAGTCATTTCCAATATATTCTTATCTTGGCTATGAAAGCATGGTCTGAGAGTGACTAAAGGTTCACAGTATAATTAAGTACTCCCACAACCAGAAAAAACAATGTAGACATTCCATTGAACTTCATATTAACAAAATTATAGTGCTAAAAGGGATCTACCATATTTTCCATGTATAAGACACCCCCATGTATAAGATGCCCCCACTTTTCTAACCCAAAATTAAGAAATCTAAGTGAGGCTTAGCAAATGGAGGAGAAAGCAGCGATCAAAGCCCTGCAGGATCACTTTGATCCCTGCTTTCCCCTCCACTTGTTTTGGTTTGATCCCTGCTTTCCCCACTTGTTTTTGTTCTCTTCACAGCTTACTTCTGTGTATAAGACGACCCTCAATTTTTAGTCTAAATATTTTAGACAAAGGCATAGTTTTATACATGGAAAAATACAGTATATATCCACATGTTATCAACCAGTAGATCCTGGTTTGAGTCAGAAAAGAATCAAAAGGTGATGAAAATAGGTCAGAATACTAAATGCAACTTTTTAGTGATTAGCACATAGGGATAAAAGAACTATTCTGATATCACATGGAAAGAAACAGAAGAGAATGTCAGAAGAAGAAAACAAGAGATCTCTTCAGATGATTATATAAATGGAAGGGAAATATAAACCAAGATTAAAAATGCTTCAAAGATCAACCAAAGAATATATTATCTGACCAGGATAAAATAGGGGAAGATGGAAAGAATATAATGAAACATTATAGAGGAAAGATGCAGGATCATACATTCCTTCAAAGCCAAGCCATTTGAAATAACAAAACATCTGGACAATCATCCAGCAGAGCTCTTTCAAGTGAGCAAAGACTTATTACATGCTGGCTCACAAGAAGAAAATGCAGACCATACCATAGCTTACTGTGAAGAATTTATGCAACACTGTGCAGGCAAATCAATTAATACATACATACATACATACATACATACATACATACATACATACATACATACATACATACATACATACATACATACATACATACATACATACATACATACATACATACATACATACATCGCCTATCTGGTCATTTTGACCACTTTGACTTGGGTGTTGTAGTTGATATAGGTCCTGTATGTAACTATGGTCCCAGTTTGGTCTATGTTGATGAATTCACTCTGACTTGGATGTTGTAGTTGATATAGGTCCTGTGAATGTAACCATGGTCCCAGTTTGGTCTATGTTGATGAATGAGTTTCAGTTTCTGCAACCTGAGGATAATATGGACAGGACCCTTAGGGAGATGAACACTACCACATGTCTGTTGGACCTTGCCCTTGCTAGCTAATAAAAGCTGTTAAGGAGGGACTGGTAAAGTTGTTAGGAGGAGTGGTTAATGCCTCTTTGCAGCGGGGTAGAATCCCTGTATACTTAAAAGAGGCAGCAATAAGACTGTTTCTGAAAAATCCCTCCTTGGATCCCATGATACTGGATAATTACCACCCAGTCTCTCATAATCCATTCTTAGGCAAGGTGCTGGAACAGGTCATGGCTTCTCAGCTCCAGGGGTTCCAGGATGAGATGGATTATCTAAATCCATTTCAATCTGGCTTCAGATTTGGTTACGGGACAGATACTGCTTTGGTTACCCTGGTGGATAGCCTATGCTTGGAACTGGGCAGGGAGTATGTATCCCTGTTGGTTCTGCTGGACTTCTCAGTGAGATGAGATGATCTAAATCCATTTCAATCTGGCTTCAGATTTGGTTACGAGACAGATACTGCTTTGGTTACCTTGGTGGATAGCCTATGCCTGGAACTGGGCATAGAGTGTGTATCCCTGTTGGTTCTGCTGGACTTCTCAGTGGCTTTCAATACCATCAACCATGGTATTCTTCTACCCTGGGATGGGACTTGGAGCCACTGTTTCACAGTAACTCAGGTCCTTCCTGGACTCAATATCATCAATAATGTATTCTTCTACCCTGGTATGGGACTTGGAGCCATTGTTTCACAGTAACTCAGGTCCTTCCTGGAGCAGAGAACTCAGAAGGTGGTGTTGGAGGACTCCTGTTTGACATCCTGGCCATTGTCTTGTGGCATCCTTCATGATTCTGCTTTGTCCCCCATGTTATTTAACATCTACATGAAACAGTTGGGACAACTTCTATGGAGTTTTGGGATTCAGTGTCATCAGTTCATGGATGACATTAAACTTAACCTCTCCTTTCCATCTAAATTTGAATAAGCTTTTTTCAGTTCTAGATCAGTTGTCTGATATCAGTAATGGACTGGATGAGGGTAAATAAACTGAATATTAACCCAGACAAGACAGAGGTGCTCCTGATCAGTTGAAAGACAGATTAAGGAATAGGGATCCAATGTGCGCTTGATAGGGACCAGAAAACATAGGTGGGCAGCTTGAGTGTACTCCTGGATTCATCTCTATGATTGGATGCTCAGGTTTTAGTGGTGGCCAGGAGTGCCTTTGAACAGTTTAAACTAGTGCACCATCTGTGCTAATTCCTGGAGAGGTCTGATGTGGCCACAGTGACACATGCCTTTTTTTCTTGTTTGGAGCACTGTAATATGCTGTACATGGGGCTGCCTTAGGAAAGTGTTCAGAAACTTCAGTGAGTCTATAATGCTGCAGCCAAATTGTTAACTGGAACTGGTTACAGAGATTG